GTTGGACCCAGGTTGTTCTGTTTTTTCACCTAGACTCTACCATCGGGTATATTTCTGCTCACTTTTTGCTTCTTCATTCATTCATGTTTTACTTTATGTTTTGGAGTAATTCGGATTTGCTTTAGAAGTGTGGAAGATCATAGCCAAGGTGCCCCATGAGATAACAAAAGTCGAAAACTCAAAATATCATTAACATCATCATTAGAGCCTTAATCTAACTATTTAATTTGTTAAAATATGATCTACAAAAAATAAGAAACCAAAGAGAGTCAAAGTTCAAAATGAATTGTAATGGCCTTGGGATCAAGGAGATTGTAGAACCTCTCTCTCTCTCTCTCTCTGTCTCTCTCACTCACACAATGGGCTAGTGAGAAATATTGTTGGTTGAATACAGATATTTTTTAGGGATTATATAATAATACATCATTTATTTTTGGTATAAGATGGTCACATTCACTTTAGCCATGGAATGTGCATATACTAGATAAAAGTATTTCACAAAATTCAATAAATTTTATTTTGAACTTTTTGCCCATACAATGACACATTATCAACCCCCCGATTTCAGATGTAATGGTTAATGATGATTGTGGCTGCATTGCATCAGAATTAAATAATCTCACTATATACATTTCCTATTTCTTATCATATTGCAACCCTTTTTATTTTATTTTTTTTCGCAGCTCATACCGAAGACTTTGGAATACGAAAACTGGGACACAGTGACTAATTATCACATCGAAATGCCCAACTATGATAGGTTGGTCCTGAAAAGTAAAGGTCATCTTATTAAAGCAGTATCAGACATGTCGCACTGCCAAATTGTGATCCAGGACCTAATAAAGGGACAGCTCACTGCCGTAAGTGACCCAAGAAAGGGCGGGACCCCTGCTGGTTACTAAAATAATTTCTATTTCCATTGTACCTTTACTGCTTAGTTATTGGTCTTCTTATGGTTTGGGCTCAATAATGAGTATCTCGTTAATGGCCTGTTTGGGCTCAATGATGAGTATCTCCCTTGTTTTTCTTAATAATGTTTAAGGCTCCTGATATTACTTGGATTTGAACACTCTGTTTGTTAGTTGGATCTGTTATCAAGTTTACTGCTATTTGGATTTGATTGACCCGTTCTTGTCCTAAACCTCCTTTTCTTAATTGTCTCTCTATCCCTCTGACTTTACCGTTATTTGGATTTGAAAAGATGAGTACCTATGTAATAAATCTCTGCCCGCAATGTAAAATGTGGAAAGACCTATGCGATAAATCTCTCTCCAGATTATTGAAATGCACACAAATTTTCTTGGGAGAAAATTATATAGGGACACTCTTTCGACCCCAAAATTACCAAATGAGACATTTTATGTAAAAATTAAAAAATTCCGACAAGCACAGAGACATTTTGTTTTTTACAATCGTCCATATATTTGGCAATAACAACACCGAACATCAAAAAATCCCACAAAATATTTGTGTCTTCTCTCTCCAATGTAGGAATCACCGGACAACATTGTCTTTTGAGTAGTGAGTGCATTGGCTAGTCATGGAAATGCCGGATAGAATGGACGCTTTCTCCCATGGAGCATCATCCACAAGCATACAATCTCCCTCTTTATCTTCTTGAGGGTGTACTAAGATCTAATAGCTTCAATTCATAGATTAACTTCAACAAAAAATAAAATAAACACCATCTATGTACATAAAAAATTAGCATCTCAAGATTTGAATATGGACCGTCCAATATTTTGAGGGTGAGATCTTGTTATTAGAAAAACTTTAGTTTTGACTTTTGAAAACAAAAGCGTAGTAATCTTTAGGTGGTTCCCAAAATTTCAGTTTGAAAGAAAATCGTTCGAAGTCATTCTTCTCCCGAGGGAGTATGTATAGTATAGTCCCTCTGGAGTATGTTTTACATGGACAAATGTGACAACGCCTTTTCATCATGGGCATCTTGGACGTCAAATTTATAGTTGATTATGATGCAAAACAATTATGACATTACTTTTAGCCAAAAAGATATTATATTCCTATAGGAGTATACTGTTTATTCATTCGCTCCAGTAAAACCTAACCGGGAATTAATTTTAGGTCGTTTTTTAATTGATTTTAAAAGTATTATCAAGTGGCACGTAGTTATGTTACAATAATTGGTAGGTTAGTTGTGTTTCAATAAATAGTGAAATTGTTATTTAGTTGATTTGTTGGGGTGTAGTTTGATACCTTTTATATATATATATATAATTGGAAAAGCATGTAACGAGATCATTCACCTTTGATATAAGGTGATCACAATTTGGTTATGGGATATGTAATTGGGTGACTGTATTTATTCCATTGACTAAGCTTAAAGCTAAAAAAAAAAAATTTCGAACTTTGTGACAAACCCAAGGTGGTAGATTTCACATTTAAAATTTAATAGTATTTGTGACCTCCTTGTATTAAGGGTAAATGATTTCATGGTATACAACTCCTTTCTCATTTAATAAGGATGAATAATATACTATAAGATTGTTTCTCTTTTTTACAAGAAGATTATAATCACTTTCAGCTATCAGATGTGCGAACCAATAGCCGGGGTATGTCAAAGAATTTAAGAATAATAATTTTAGATTTTAAACCCAACCAATAGTTCCGAGCTCTCAAATTTTAGGTTTAACTCGACCTTCTGACAACAAAGAAAAATAATTTTCTTTTTTTAGTATTACACTGGAGGAAAATGGTCCCATGTATGCTTTTTTTATTTGAATACCTCTGCAAGTGGTCATAAACTTCTTAGCATATTTTGTACTGGTTTGCCATCTTATTCAAGGCCATAAAACCTTCAAACTGAAAGAGGAGGAGGTAAGTCTTGTGAAAGTGTGGTGGATGATGGGTAATCGATTCCTAACGTTGAATACCTCATTTTTAACTCGAGAAAAATGAGAGGATGATCTCCTTTCATTCCAACGTGTTTAATCTACAGGTTGGGACAACCCTACGCGTTAACAGTAATAGAAATCAGATATTTAGTTTTCTATCATGTGATAAAAAACTAAATATTTGATTTTGATAACTGCCAACACCCACCCTAAAACGACAAGTGTACCACCCCTTATCTTTTGATCCGGCCCACCAACCCGATCCTTTGCTCTTGTTTTGCGGGCCAAGCTCTAGTTTTTTAGTCCCATTGCCAACTCATATAACCCCTTTGGTCCTCTCTCTCTCTCAAATTAGATTTCCATAGCTCCCTTTCTCTCTCTAGGTTTGTTTTTTTCTCTCTTGTCCTGCCCCTCCATTTCCAACAAAAACACTTTCCATTCCAAGTCAACTGATCCACTCTCGAATAACTCTCTCTCTATCTCTCTCTCCTGGTGGAAATGAATTCTCTGCCCCCCAAAGATGGACATTCCTTGCAGTTGGATCACAAAAGCTTGTCGCAATCAGATGCTTTCTACGTCTCTCTCTCTGGTTGTAATCAGATGCTTTGTATCAGGTACCCCTCTCTCTCTATGACGCAAGGGATACCCAGGTGTGAAGTTTATACTGTAAATTTATTCATTACAGGGTCAAAACTTGAATTTCCGTAGTTTCTATCGGAAAAATTATGTCGAATTTTTTATTCCTAAATTCTATGATGCGCTAAATAAGTATATTGAATTCATTTTCTATAATCTCCCACTGAAAAGTAATGGATTATATTTATGAAATGTGCCTTGGCCAGGTAGTCACCCTTTTGCTAAGACGAGTAACTCGGCCAAGGCCGAGTGATGTAGATCGAGCGGATCTATAAACACTTACATTATAAAAAAATAAAATTAGATAGTCTAGATAATACATTACAAGATGCAATATTTCATGACTTGAAATATTTTATTTTTGAAAAATATGCCTGTGCCTCGAAGTCAAGATGATCAATTTAAGGTTTCCAACATCGAAACAATCTTTTCCCATGAGCTTTTGAAGCGCACTTTATTTCAGAAGTACAATGTTAGCCCATATAGTTTTTTCTTTTTACATTAGTTTTTGCCGTTAACATTATTTGGTTCAACTTAAGTGGCCAATGCCAAATGATAATTACCCTTACTTGTTTTAGGTTCTTAATTTAGGATATGTTTTGTCCATGTAAATATCTTGATCTTGGTTTCATGACTTGAAATATTTTATTTTTGAAAAATATGCATGTGCCTCGAAGTCAAGATGATCAATTTAAGGTTTCCAACATCGAAACAATCTTTTTCCATGAGCTTTTGAAGCACACTTTATTTAAGAAGTACAATGTTAGCCCATATAGTTTTTTCTTTTTACATTAGTTTTTGCCGTTAACATTATTTGGTTCAACTTAAGTGGCCAACGCCAAATGATAATTACCCTTACTTGTTTTAGGTTCTTAATTTAGGATATGTTTTGTCCATGTAAATATCTTGATCTTGGTTTTGGAACCTGTGAGGGAAATTTGCCTCCAATTTTCTCATTAGCCAAATTAATGTAAGAGATTTTACATCCAATGAGTAATAAGCTTCACGTTTATGGCTCAAGATATTTTTTATAACATGGTAAATAATCTCACTATATACATTCCCATTAATTGTCACCTTTTGGTGAAAGAATATAATACTATCCCCATTTTACAATAACTTTTCTCAAAAGGATTTGTGGTCAAAATTCGTATTGACTAATAAGAACTACCTTTGTGATTAGTTCAATAGTAGTTCAATAAGAACTACCTTTGTAATTAGTTCAATAGTAGTTCAATAAGAACTACCTTTGTGATTAGTTCAAAAGGAAATTGGGACGGCATAGAGAAAATTAGCACTACGATTAGAATCGGGCTTGGGTCAAAACGGTAGAGGTTGGTTATTCATAGTACAGTCTCAAGTTCCATTACTATGTAACATTGACAAAAAAAGAAAACCACCAATCAAGTTCAAGCCCAATTCCGAATTTATCTTGTTACCAAAAACAAGCCAAACTGCGACCAAAATTTGATAATTACTGAAAAATTTCGTTCTTTATTTAATTTATGTTAAAATGGAAAGTTCCATACGGTGGACTCTCTTTAATTTATATTTTAGATAGACTTATTTTTTATAAATTATTGGAAGTTATCAATCACGAGAATTTCTCAATAACTAATCTCCAATGGAGTAAATTTAAAGTACAAAATGGCCGTCTTTTTTTAACCTTCTCTAATTTGAATTGCCACAGTTTTCTTAGACAGCTAAGTTTTTTAGATTTTAAAGTAGCAAAAAATATCAATTAAAAGGGTTGTAAATCCATGCAAACTCGCTAAGGGGTCAAACGATATCAATTGATATTCAAAAGTCTGCTTTTAAAGTTCTATTTCAATTAATTGATGTTTTCACTATTACTGCGTATGGGAAGTTGACTGTACAAGTTTCCTTGTTACGAAAGCTTAATAGAAGGTATTAGGGGTTGTTAATCATTAGAAGAAAATCACGAGAGTCAACTATGTCTGATTTTAATCCTTTTCACCCAAATAAGAGTCACATGATCTTACATTTTAACTTTACGGGTCATATATGGACATATGCTTTCTATACTTTCCCTATTGTATAAAACTTATA